CTGATTAGGGTCTAGAGTTATCTCTAGTGGTTAACTTCTGCCCTTCCTGGTAGAGAGCAAGAGGGGACATCATTACAAATTTATATCCTTCTTTTAGTTTTTTATTTATCTATTTCTTCCCAATTATCTTCAGCTCAAAATAACCAATATGCTAAAGTTGCATGTTTTGGGATGGCACTATCTGCTACCCTTCAGCCTTATGTGCAGCATACTCTGCTACCCTTCAGCCTCATCTGCCTCATAAGTTACGAATGCTTGACGGCATTTGTAGTTTTAGAAATTAGGTTCAGGTATGGTTGAACTAACTCTTTAATGCGGTCAACTGTAAAATGTAAAATAATTGTTCCAATTTAAGAAAGCATTTTGCCATGAAACAACATCCCTAGATATGGAAGATTTTAAGTCAAACACATAGTGCAGACAGAATTAAAAGATAATGGCTGTTTCTATGATTGCTCCATGATGTACTGTCAAATGAAGAATAATAAGGTTCATTAATTTGGAAAAGAGAGCTTTATTTTTCACAAAGGGTTGCAGCCTGCAGGGTGGCCGTTTTGATAGGCTCAAAAGCATAGCCTCTGGCCAAAAGCCAGAAACTGGCACTTCTGCTTCCGCTGCATACTCTGTGGATTTGAACTGCCCAACAGGTTCACCTTGCTCGCTGCCTAGACAGAGCTGATTTACCAAGACAGGAATTGTAATACAGAAAAAGTAATTCACACAGAGTTGGTTGTACGGAAGACCAGAGTTTTATTATTATTCAAATTGAGGCAAGAAAATAGGGTCTGGAGGCAGGAAACATAAGGTCAATTCACATTTCAGCCATGACAGAAAATATTTTCTCCATAGGGTGTAGGCCAAGTAAATGACTTTGTGGCTTGACTTCATCATCTTCGTTACATAGAACATACCCCAACTAGAGAGTATTTAAATTCCCGAAAATTCTATAACAGGGAACTTGAGCCCCTATGCTTGGGCCCACTCCCAACTATGGAGTGTACTTTCATTTTCAATAAATCCCTCCATTCCTTCCTTGCTTTGTTTGTGCATTTTGCCCAATTCTTTGTTCAAGATGCCAGGAACATGGACACCTCCACCAGTGACATATTTTGGCAAGCCAGCCAGGAGAAACAGGTAAGTCCAAAGTTTGGGATTCATTTTTCAATTGTTTAATGGTGTGCTGTGGTTTCAGAACCAACCCAAACATGCTTCTCCACTCTGCAGCATTTAAAATAAAAAACACTGTCCTAAATCTATTTACTTTTACAATCTATTTTAGCAATGGTTCATCAGGAAGCTGATACCAATCTACTAAAGGAAACAATTCCTTCACACGATACCCTCTAGTTTCAACAGTTAATTGGTTTTGCCCCTCCTCCACACTGACTACCCTTTTGGTGACCACTAATTTCAGAGGTACTTTCTATTGCCCTGGCACAATTTTCTCCTTTGTGAGTGGCTTTAAGACTAGTGGCCTGTGCTCAGACAGATCCACATTTGAGCTTGGTCCAGCCTCAAGGTCCAACCCAGCACTCTCTTTTACTTTCATTTGAGCTGTTATAGATAATACTAACGAAGGGATTAAATATTTTACTTTTTCCTTATTAGTTTGCATTTCTTTATGCATCCAGAGAACCAACTCCCTAGGAGTTTAATCCATCTCTAAATCCCACTGGTACTTTTTACCTTCAGTAACTGAATGCAGCAAAGCTGCAACTCCTTACTATGGGTGACAAGGTAGCCACCCAGAAATCAAATTTTCCTTATTCTCCACCTTTTTATCCTTTCTATACATTTAGTTTTATCTATATATTTTTCCTTCATTTTGAAGCAACTTTTAAATAGTCTCTAAACTAGGCAAAATTACTTTTCCTTTAGCAAAAACCACATCCTCATGTTTTTGATAACCTTTACCAAAAACACATCTTACTTTTTAAATAACAGGTACATAGAATTGCTTCTCTTCTATCTGGTAGTTTTAATTACTATATTAACTGATATTATAACTCTTAGTAACCCTAATGCCCAATTATAAACCTAGGAGTGTTTAATTTAACATGACTTGAAGATTTTAAATTATTCTTTTTTTTTTTTTTAAGAAGGAAATAAGAGACATGTGTTTCTCTTCTTTATTAATGAGTCAAGATACACAAAGACTTAATAAAAAGTTACATAAAAGGCTCAAACATCATTGAGATCTTCAGGCATCACTCTCGTTTCACGACAATGGCCACCTGTTAAGACTATGAAACAGAAGCTGGGCGCTCACAGGCACTCAACAATTCAAGTATCTTTCATTCCAAGTAAACCCAACATGGAATTTCAAATAGGATGGGCTGCCAATGGTGGGAACCTGTCTGTGGTTTCAAATTTGTTGTAACATATCTGAGGGGCCTTTGAGTTAGTTGCCACATTAGTGGGTCATGTCTCCCGGCAAAGTGAGACAGGCCCCATGAGGCCAGCCAGGCACTCTCCACAGCCAGCGCCACGAGAAGGAGGTGGGCAAAGTCCTAAGAGAAACCATTCGGATGTCCCCTGTGTGGCAAAGTGCATGGGCAGTGAGTGGCCAGAGCCTCCAGCTGTGAGAGTGGGGAGGATGGCTAGAATCATCTCTAGAGAAAAAAGCAGCCTACTAAAGGGTGTCAACCAGTGGGGGAAATCTGAGCGCACACAATGGCAAAGGCATGGGGTGAGGGCATTTGAGGAAGGCTGTGCCAGGGGATGTGGGGCAGCACTATTCTCTGGAGGACCAACGGGAACGTGAGAATGTCAAACATCCCCAAGTCCCAGTGGGCTCCTCAGTCATGGTGTGGCGTGGCCAACCATGTCTCCCAGTTGGACCCCACTAGGTGATGATGGAGAAGATGAAGGAGGGATGCCATGGGGCACACTCTACTCTCTACTCTGGCTATCTGGAGGCTACCTCGGAAATGAGGGCCCACTTCTACAAATGGGGCATTACTTACTCATCTCACTTATGGGGAACATGAGGTCATGGGAGATGAAAGCTTACCAGAGGCCCAACAGCAGAGGCTACAGAAGGCCAACCCTTAGCTAGTCTGTCTCAGGCACTGCGGAGTTCAACTGCGGGCCAAGTGCAGGACAGGTGAGCAGATGCATGGTCCCTCTGTCCCAACTGTGTGGTTGGAATCCCTGTGTCTTCTCACCCTTATGGTCAAGGTCTTTGTTCTGTGTCAGCTGATCTGCTTCCAGTGAGATGACCCCACGCAGTGCTGTCGAGGAGCTACAGCTCCCTGGTGAGCATAGGGTGAGCTCGTGGTGGCTGGTGCCCAGCAGAAGGTTTCTGGCCACAGACACTGCCCTGTGTGCAGGGCTTCTTCTCCTGCTCCGCTATGCTCTCGATTCCAAGCATCTCCATCTTTACTTCTTCCTGCCTTTCCCGCCTTTCCTCCTCCTCACCTCCAGTTCACAGCTGCCATCAAACTGCACACATATCTGCTGCAGATGCCACTTAGGGAAGCGAAAGGATTGGGAAGAGCTTTGTCCTCTTAGTGTTTAAAATACCTCTTAACATTATAGGATCTAAGGAAACTCTGAAGTGCCTCATCTGGAATGTTCTCTCTTATCCTTCCTTTTAGGAACAGAAGAAGGGGCAATTTAGACAAATAAGTTTGATTTCCAACGAACAAAAGTCTCAACTGTCTCCTTTTGCAGCAGAATCCCTCTCTGGCTGGGCCCCTCAGTGCTGGTGACCTTACCGAGGCAGGAACACAGCGCATTTTCAGAATCCAGGTGTCTTGCCATCCATCTGGGTGCTCACTTTCCTTGGGTTTCTTTCTCCAGAGTGGCAGGCCACCCGCTGAGGATATTCTAGTTTGCATAGTGACCTGATTTGTAACATCTGGAAAACAAGGTCACCAGCTGTGCTGCCTTATCTTCTGACCTTTTCATGGGTGCACCATTGTTCCTGCTGTCTCTCCACTCCCACCCCGGCTGGAAAACCTCCAGTCTTTGGCTCACACCAGCAGTACCTAAGCGGGAGGTGAGCGTCATGAGAGCTGGGGAGACGCCCCCTTGCAGAAGGCGTATGAGAGCCACGCATCAGCTCAGCCCTCCTTACTTCTTTGATCATATTATAGTCAAGATTCAACAGGTCAATAAAAATTGCCAAAAGGGCAAGCTAGGACTACTTTTACAAATACTGGGAGGAGTCTGCTCATTGACTGGGCTTACAGAGGTGGCTGTCAGTTAACTCCAAGGGAAGATGGCTTCAGGTCTTGGTGCTGTTTTAGTGATAACAGTATTGAATCGTTTTTGGTTGAGATCCAGTGTGAACTGGAGTTTTCTGGATGGTGTCCACATTAGGTGACTTGGACGTGCCAGCGTCTTCATAGCAGAGAGGCACCAAGCAGCACAGGAGACGTGAGAAAGCAAGAGACAGATTTGAGAAACCCAGAGCCTTCTCTGACACCTGCGAAGGGCAGAGAACTTAACCTACACTGCCTGAAAAACAAATGAACACGTTTGCAAAGCTTATCAGCTTACTTTAGTTTATACATTTCCAGGATAATGAAAACCCCGTTTAGAACTGACATGCTCATGACAGCCACTCCCCTCAGCAAAATACAATCTGTTTTCTAATATTTACATCCCCAACCATAGGAAGACCCTCGGGGTAAATCTCTCTCTTCTCTTGGTTCTAGGCCACGAGTAGGGTCTCTTTCCCTTCCGAGTTTCCCCCATGGCCTGAGGCCTCCAGCTCCAGTTCCCATTAACATCTGTCCTCTCTGTCACTCTACTTTCGGATTGAGTTGAGTTTTGGCACTGATGGAAAAACTCAGTTAAAAAACAACAATATTCCAGATATATTACCAGAGAGGTCTGCTGGACACTTGAAACTTCACCAGGCAGTGTGCCCAGACCCCTTTAATAAAATAATAATCACTAAAATAATTTAAAAATCTATAAAAGATATCCAAGCTCAGACACTGTGGATGGGGGGGTAAGGGGAAGAAGCTTGTTCATGGCTTGTTTTGTACTTTGTATGTGGATAAACACTTCCACATCAAACCAACACTATATAGTTAAAATAAACAACACACCCACAGAGAGATGGGGAGGAACCGGGTTGAATCAACACATGGGGGGGCCAGGGACACTTGGACGCTGCTTCTGCTTATGGGTGGCTCCCTTGTCTCTTGTGAGAGATGGGAAAGCCCGTGCCCTCTGGGCAAAGCCAGACCCTGTCTGCCCCCTGCCCACCCTCCCTTTCTCCCTTTCTGTGCCAAGTCCTCAGGCCAAGGGTTGTGGTTAGAAATGGTTTCAGTGCAGTTAGGCGGGGAGGGGTCCGAAGGGCTGGTCAGGCCACAGTCACTGTGCCCACTCAGGCCTGTCACAAGATCACACATTGCAGTTTGCGGGTGCCTGTAGCCCGGTCTCCCTGCCATTTGGTTTTCTTCTTCTTCTTCTGGCTTTTTTCTGGAATCTGTTGCCTAATTACTCTAATGAGGTCATGGAAAGCTTTGTCACATTGAGAGGTGTGTCCTTGGCACTGGTTTCTATGTATGGAATATTGTGTTTGGTGGCCATTTCTTTTCCTTGCTCCCTGGTGATTTTCCTTAAGTGCATCAAATCGACCTTGTTGGCCACGAGGATCATCGGGAATGACTCCCTGTCTTTGACACGCAGGATGAGCTGGTGGAAGCGGTCCACGTGCTCGAAGCTGGCCTTGTCGGTGACAGAGTAGACAATGAGGAAGCCATCCCCCGTGCGCATGTACTGCTCCCGCATGGCACTGAATTCCTCCTGCCCAGCTGTGTCCAGAACGTCCAAGATGGCCCACTGATTGTCAACCTCTGTATGTTTCAGGTAGGAGTCTTCAATGGTGGGGTCATAGTCAGGTACAAAGATCTTCTGGAAAAACTGGATGGTGAGGGCACTTTTGCCCACACCCCCATCCCCCACCACCACCAGCTTATATGTGGGTAGGTTGTCACTGGGGACGGCGCTGGTTGCCATGGTTCTTGTAGGTCAGACCGCGCGCTCCAGTCCCCGCTCGGCTCCGGCACTCAGGCCGTCCCCTGCTAGCCCGCGCCGGTGAGGAGGCAGCGCCGCGCCCGCCGGGCCCCGCGGCCGCCGGACTGACGGCTCCCCGCCAGCCGGCCGCCCCCTTAAATTATTCTTTTTCTTCTTTGAAGAAAAAGAATCTTCAAAGTAGTTTTATTTACCAAAGATTACTAAAGCCATGTAAACTAAAAGGCATTTGAGCTAGCTCTCATTTTTTCATTTTTTTCTATTCTTTTTTTTTTTTTTCTTTTCTTTGAGATGGAGTCTTGTTCTGTCACCCAGGCTGGATGCAGTGGCACAATCTTGGCTCACTGCAACCTCCATCTCCCAGGTTCAAGTGATTCTCCTGCCTCAGCTTCCTGAGTAGCTGTGATTACAGGTGCCTGCCACCACACCCAGCTAATTTTTGTATTTTTAGTAGAGATGGGGTTTCACCATGTTGGCTCGGATGGTCTCAAACTCCTAACCTCAGGTGATCTGACTGCCTTGGCCTCCCAGAGTGCTAGGATTACAGGTGTGGGCTGCTGTGCCCAGCCCATTTTTTTCTGATAAAACATTTAAGCTCTTACTCTTTTTTAAGCCAATAGATTAGAGCTTTTTCATATAATTTGGTAATGAAGCATGACACACAGATACACAAACAGAAGCAGATCTTATAGCTTTATAAGATTCTTTATTTGCAAGTTTTCAAATAGTTTCTCTCCCCTACTTAGACTGTCAATCTCTTGATTGCCTATTCAGTTTCCAGCTTAGGAATGATTCTTTGCTGGTTTGTTGCTTGTGTAACTTTGCCATATACTGAGTTTGTTTCCCCCATGTTACTTCTGATTCCCTGTCTTGAATTTTTCTTTCTTTTAGCTACTTTTGGGGAGATTCTAAATTTTTTAAAAAAACTGCTTACCATCTCAATGAAACACCTTATGTGTCCAGGTTGAATCATAACCTTAGTTTAGACTTACTAATTTCACATGAGAGGTTATCTTTCATAAAGTTAAAAAACCAGAAATATTGGCTGTTTCTCTTGGCTAGAGTCTGGTAATAAGAGATTTTGTTAGAAGTCAGCTTAATCAAAAGCAGATATCCAAGGTACGCATCTATTTAAAAGAACTTTATTATTATTTTTTCTTTCCTTGAATCTATTTTTTTGAAGGAAAAAATAAGGGTTTTTTCTTTTTAGTCAACTGAATTGTTTTGTCTTCTTGTCTCTTTTGATGCCCACATGAGAGAACCTAAGATAACTTCTAACAGCCTGGGACTCCTGGAGAAAAACAGGAGGTGCCACAGACCTCATTCTGAAAAAAACCTCTCTTTTCCTCATGGAACTTCAAGATTTAAAGGAGGTTAGAGCTCTTTCAATATCTAAGCCTGTGTTCTGTTTTACATTATGTTACTGACAGTTTTGACTTTTGAGGGTATCAGAAATTACTTTCCATTATGGGAGAGCTTTTAGCCTTGGTGTGTAATAACTAGGTAGGAAATATATTTTAAGGAATGGCTAATGGCAGTTATGGAGGGATCCTTGGCTCTTTGCATGCTTGGATTAGAGAAGCATGCCCTTGACCACGTGGAAGGTATGGAAACATCCCTACTCCTAAATGAGAGGTGAAACTCCATTGGGGGATGCGCTGATTACAAAATGGGCTGATTGGCTTCAGGTTGCAATGCAATGAAATGCATGGAAAAAGCATTGTGCTGTCTTCTCCCATAGCATTTCTGTCTTTTTTGTGGGGAGAATCCAAGATCCTATATAAAAATGGAACCCTTAATTTTGGGGATCTGTTTTTGCCTTTCAGCTGTGTCTGCTTATTGGGCCCTAGATATTGCATGCTTTCCTGGCCCTGTTCCTTGAAGGACTCCACCATGAAGCCAGGAATCTAATTAAGAAACTGGCAAATGAAAAATCTTACGACGACTGGATCTTCTTCTGTCTGTGTATTTTTACGTGTTGTGTGTGATGTTTGTTTAGGAAAATGCTCTGTTTAATTGGCTTATAAAATAATAAGTGCTTAAATGTTCTGTCAGAAAAAATAGAAATTTTTACGCCTTTTAGTATACATAACTTTAGCAATCTGGGAATTAAAAATGGTTTTAAAGATTATTGATAAAATAAAAATGTCTATAAAATGTGGAACATTTGACAATATTTAGACATTTGACAAATTTAGACATTTAAAGTAAGTCAGAGATTAGATTTGCTAAATACTTTAATGTCATAAACTGCTTCCTTGATTTTGAGGTAAGGCCTGGGGACATGTGGCATTAGCCCTGTTCCCTAGTTATGCTAGAAAGAGTCACACTTTATCTGTACTTTTCTCTGGAGTTCTAGGCTCCACACCTGGTACATAAATAAAATTGCTTACTTGCCAGATTTTGACTAAAAATAAAAGTTGCTAAAAGTAACATTGTAACATGTAATTAAGACTACTGGGGAAGCAATTTTACATGCCAGGTATGTAAGGAAAGTAGAATGTGTTTTGGTAAAAGATTATAAAAAGGCATGGGAATTTGGTTTTTGCTTAGTTTTGAGGATAAAAGAATCGAATTGTTTTAAGTTAGATAGAATATAGCTAAAGGTTTGAACAAGTTATGAAAGGTTTGTGAAGGATTAATCTTATAAAAAGAAATTCTGTGTGTAAACATATTGGCTAAAGCTGAAGGTGTATTATTTGGTTTCTCAAAAAAACTGAACATTTCAGCTAAATGAATAACCTGTGACTCTGTTTTGTGATATCCAGTGTTTTAAACCTTTAATATTTGACAAACTTTCTAAGATCAAATTCTAAGTTAAAGAAAAAATTAGGTACCCTTAAGTCCAACAAGGACACATTTGGCTTATTTGATGTATTAAAATCATGAAGAAAGCATTGTCAAATATAAACTGTTATTTTACTTTCTTTGGGTTATAGTTATATAAATATGTATTGATATGTGTTATGAAATTATATATGATTCCTATAATTTGATATATCTCAATGTATGTTATCAGTGAAAACTATAATTGTTATGTGAAATTGTTGTGTACCACAGAAATGCCATATCTTCTTGTTGATTGTATCTTTAATTATGGCTGTCCTGAGACTTTTGTCATCCATGGACAGTTGCTGTCTTGTTTTGATCCTTTTCAGAATGCAATTTATAATCAGGTATAGGACTCTGATGGGTACTGTTGAGTGCAGTTCTCTGATAACCTTAGAAATTGTGCTATTGGAATAGAGGAAGAAAGCTTCTAGGACTCTCAAGGAGAGCTGATGTGTTAAATATTGCTAATCCTTTTGTTTTTCAGAGTCAAGAAAACTTTTTTCTTTTAAGCTATTTAAAACTTTTAGAAATTGAGTAAAGTATACTCTTGGGAGGAAAATGTGGAACATATCGCTTTCTCTCTATGTGATTTCTCCCTAATATAAAAACTATTTGTGAGTATTCTCAACTTATGGCAGTATAGTTATTTGCGTGAGTACAATAAGAATCTGTTTTCTTTTATAACAAGGCACAATTGGAGAAACTGGTTATTTTACTAAGTTTTTGACTGGAATGACATACTTTCTTTAAAGAATCAAGGTTGACTTATAAAGTCAATAAAAGCTCCTTGGGAAAGCTGGCCTCATACCTTGTGTGTACAGTCCCTGTTCAGGGTTCATGACTGGTGGTAAGTAAAGAATGCCATTTTTTGACAGGCCCAGGAACCCTAAGTTATCTTGGGGACCTCAAGAGAAGGAAAACTCACCCAACTCATACTGGTATTTGTAGGCAAATATAAATCAGTTGCTGGGCTTCAAGGCTTTAAAAAGTACAATCTGAGATTTCTTACAGAAGAAATTTTCAGCAAAGCCAATTTAAAAACAGAGACTATATGGCAAAAAACTATTCCTACTGCACTTTATGTAAATAATCAGTTCAAGCATAATAAAACTATAACTTATTTTACAAGTAAATTTGTCCTAATATGATGTATCTGCAATAAAAATGGGCACTAAGGGAGAAAATTATATTTCAAAAACTATAGTTCATCTGTTGTCTGTTCTTGAGTTCTATTATTTTCTGCAATTTGAACTAAATCTTAAATTCTTTGTGGGCTACAAGTCCCCAAACTAATGCTTTCAAATTCTTATTTTTAAAACTGGGAATTGTGCTCCTTCTTATAAGACTCATTATTTACCTTATAGTATACCACTTGCTTAAATGCTGCAGTAAAATGAGAATACTAATGCCTTTGTTATGCAAGCCTTGGAACCCCAGTCCAGCCCACACTGAGTAGACTCAGACATCTGGGAAAGCAGTTCCATTCTTTTCACCTTGGGTCATCTCCTATTCCCACTATGGCCCTTGCCAGAAGGAAAAAGCCAGAGCAGTGGTCAACCTTTTCCCATCTTCATAGACCACACAATAAAAATAAGGTGCTATAAAACCCAAAGGGAGGGACTGAAACCACTACTGAAAATTATAACTAAGGCAGTGAAAGAGATCTGACCTAACCAGCTCCATCTTGCTTCTAACCTCCAAGCTGTCCTTGTTCGCTCCTGGTTGTAGGCAGAACTAACTTTGGGAGAAACTTAGTTTAGTTTATAGTCTGAAACAAAAATGATAACAGCCCTTTCCCAAAACAAATCCTCATCTTTCCTGGGGTCTAGATTGCCTTTGTAGGACTAACAAATTAGCCACAAAATTAGAAGTTATGGATTAGGAGTCATGCAGCTGGAAGCTACAAGATTCTGACCCTCCCCACATTGCTCCTGGGGATAACATAACTATTGTAAAACCTATGATCAGTGCTTGAGATATTCTGTAGACTCTGCACTTGATGGATCAGCTGGCACCACCCAGATCAATAAACTGGCTCATCTGATCTTTTGGCTCCCACCCAGGAATTGACTCAATGCAAGAGGACAACTTCAATTTCCTATGATTTCATCTTCAACCCAACCAATTAGTATTACCAAGCCACTGCCCCCAAACCCCCACCCAACACACCAAATTATCCTTAAAACTCCAATCCCCAAATGCCTGGGGAGACAGGAAGACTGATTTGAGTAATAATATAACTCTGGTATTCTGCACAGCCGGCTGTGCATGAATTACTCTTTCTGTATTGCAATTCAC